AGAAGAACAGTAAAATATTAATTCACAGCTCCTGCTGCTGAACATCTGTGATTTCTATTAACTCCTTCAGATGCAAGAAAGCTAACAAACAGGATGCATGAACGATCAGCCATGGACTGGATAGAGTGGACAGGTTTGGGATGTATGCCTTAGCTACCAGTAAGGAATGGAGACATCATCATTTGTTCTTTCAGCATCCCTTCTACTTACTGCTCTTTTGAGAAATTTGAGTATCTTGCCAAGCTATTGAAAGCCAGGCAAAGGTAAGCAGTAGCAAGCCAAAAGAGAAGGAAGAAATTGAATAAGAATGGGAGCTGCAAAAGCCACAGAGATCAGAGATTGGGAGAGACCACTCACTCACATCCCTACTCAACCAGGGTTATAGCCTGGCATGCCTACCTATTTTACCGAGCCCTGCTTTGCCGATTTGAAAAAGAGAACCGCCATTTGGCAAGTCATTATCTTTACAGAGCTAAAGAAAGTACCTTAAAGCAATCTAGTAGCATTAAAGTATACACTGGTATACTAAAACTGATGTTCTAATTGCAAGCACCCATGACAGAAGGACCCCTTGGCTTTGATCTCTCTTTATTCATAGACACTAAAACTTGTGCTTGCATATCAAACTTACTTTTCTAAAACACTAAAAGCAGCCACTGCCTCCCAGTAAAGAAACTAGATGACATGAAGTTCTGTGCCCTTCTGGCAGTGCACCTACATTTTAAAAGTATGTATCTTGCTCAACTCTTATGTGCTTTAAGGAGAACCTTTCAGTTTTGATACTCAAAAGAAAAAAGTCCCATTCATGGGTCAATCGCATTTGAGTTACTACACTTAATATTCATTTAAATGGAATATTACAAAGCTCTACACACAACTAGTTGCCATCCAACCTAGCAACACCTTCATAAAAGCTTGAGAATGCAGTTCTGTACAAGTCATTGACCCTCAGAAAACTGCCATGAAGTATCTCATACCAAGCTTCTGTGTATAGCTTAAATTAAATGCCAAAGACTGCCTGAAGAAAGAGTTGTTTTACAAAGGCACAGTTTCTTCAGTCATTAGACTACAGTTTCTAATGGTAACTTAAGTAGCATTTTTTTATATAACTAGTGATTTCCATGCATTCCAGAGATCTGCAAGTGCTACATACTTCCAAATAATTAATATATGCCAACTCTTATATGCATCTTTCAACAAATATGGATGAGATTTACTAAGCACACAATTGTGATTGTGATCCTCAGCTTAGTTTAACCACCAGTAGTATTGAAAGTGCAAACATACTATAAAAGTTGCCAAGGAGAACGTAAGCTTTTAAAACTGAAGAGGACTGTTTTCAGCATGAAACAGAGCAAACAAGATACTTAAGTCAGCAAGAATTAGTTTATCAAGCTCAGGTTAGAAAGTAAAACCTTAGTGAAACTAACCAAAACTCACAGGTGTTTTATTAATTTAGACAACCATGCCTAATTCTGTTGGTTTATATTCATGATAAAATATTTTACCATGTATTTTAATCCTACTGTTACTCTTGAACAATAAAGACTAATGAATATGTTTCCACCGTGCCCCCCACATTATAACATAGTAGACATATGCCAAGTTGCAAACATCTGATTTGCATGAAACAGAACTGGAACAAAATAGGCAACCATGCTTGTCCAAAACACTCTCAGCCTCCAACCACAACTTACAGGCTTCCAGGTTTTTTTCATGGTTTTATTCTTCTAGAAGTTTATTCAAGTGTTTTTTGAACCCACCTATAAACTTACACACCCCAGCACTGCGAAGAGTTCCACAGCTTACTCCAACTTCTTAATCTTCACTTAGGGAAAAAATAATAAGAAACTACTTCAAATGTTTCACTGTCCAGTTTTACTATTAGGAGGAAATGGGAACAACTGTGCATTACCTAAGTTCTGTATCATCACTGAAGTATCCTTTAGAGACTTCTTACACCCGTCTCTTCAACACACACCCACTTACTCTATTTCAGACCAAGAGCTCTGACCTACTCAGAGATGCTGCATACCAAAACTATTTTTTGCTTTTGTTAAGTATAAAAATCATGAGAAGGGACAAGAAGGGAAGAGAGAACAAAACAGAAGAGTACGATGTGCATAGTTGAAGCACACAATGGATTTTTACGCTGGAAGCATAGTTTTCCTGCTATGAATTAAGAAATAGTCAACAAAGATTAGAATTGTCTTTTTGACTGTTCAACTGTATCTCTAGAAAATATTCAAAACTAACCTCAAGTCCTACTACTACACAGAAATAACTGGTTCAATTTAGAACATATGATTCTGTATGCAACACTGATTGTCTCGTCTTAATTCTTTCTTGGTATTTCTACCTGCATATTTATTTTGTGCAAGTAAGGGTAGATGGTGCTAATTTTGCTGCTAATAATTTTGTCCAACTGATCTAGAAATTCACTTCTGGGTTACAGTTTGAGCGCCTGCTGACCTCCTCCAACTTGCTGCAAAACTCACTGCAACCAAACTCCATCCTCTTAATGGCTTATTAACTGTCAGGTATGTAGGCACATGACATAAGATCACTGAAACCACACATTCAGATGTGAGGCCCACTTCCCATAAGAAACCCAGAATGATTTACTGGGTCACTGCATCCAAGACATTCCCATGTAGAGGACAATGTACCATTTTAATCTACCCTTCTTTGACCACTCACTAACTTACTTTTTTTTTTTTAATACAGTTTCTTGCACATGGAAAAGCCTCAGCTGAGAGCAGAAGCACCACAGGTGAGCTCACACTGAGGTCATCACTTCAAGGCAAGCTTTGATCAAAAAGGAGAGCCCTCTCACATAATTTTCTAGGGAGCAACAGGGACAACAGAAAAAGGGAACAAAACAGTAGCTGGGAATACAAACCTAACAGGTTATCAGTTAAAAGATGACAGGCAAATCTTGCCTCCAATATGGAAGTCCAAGATTTCAATGCAGTAGTTGCACAGGGAAGAACAAAAGCTAAGTGATTACTAAGCCACTGTTCTCCCATGTTATTCTCATACAACAAAAATCTGTTTCCTTGTTTGAGAATAAGCTAACTCTGTTTTTCAACATGCTCAAAACCCAGAAAATTTTATTTCAGGATCATTTTAGTCTTTACAATTAACTCAAATTTTCTCCTTTTCCGTATATTACATTTGAGAACCATTTTTAGACTCATGCAGAAGTTCAACTGAAGACTCAGAGCTATGCTCAAGTTGAAAGTTGACCCCACTGTTTCATGCTGAAAGTCACACAATTCTGTTTCACAGAGCACTTGAGAAAGTGCAATTTTGTTTAAAGACTCATTCCATTTGAAACTTGGACAACTATCTTTTCACGTAGTAGCAGTATAATAAAAATAAATACCACTTTCAGTGAATTGAAGCAAAAAAAGTCAAAACATTTTACCTCCACCACAATGTAATATACAACAAAATTTGTATTTCCCCCCTCTTGTGTTATAAGTAACCATTTTATCTTCTTCTATACTAAAAGAGTTAGTTTCTGGCAATTACTTCTGCTCACTCACTACATTAAAATTTGCAAAGATAACAAGATACCAAGACAATTTGTTATCTGGAGGAGGTAGCATCTCCTTTATTTCAATTAAGGTTGTTCTACTACAAGTGAGATCTTTGAAAAGTCAGTAACATTTAAAAGTCTGACAGACATGCTGTTTAGAAATTCTTTAGTTTCTACATTTTATGAAAATCCTCCTTTGTTTACTCTGCCTTTTTAAACTGAAGTTGACAGTCATGTAGAAAGTGACCTTTACAAGTACATCATGTATTTCCTGGAACAGAGATAAAAGCCATACCTTACTGACTCTACAGGGCTACTCACAGGCACTGAAAGTCTGTCCAATAATCAGTGTCTGGAACAGCTTACAATAAGTAAATAAAAGTCTTCCAGGCACAATTATGAGCATTAGTAATACAAAAAAAGCTGCACACTCCTCTACTTCAATCTCTCAAACTCCAAATTGTCGATCTGCTACCTGCATGAAGTTCTGCTCACTTTAGGATTATCTGCTGTACTACCAACAGCCATTCAAAATACAAACTGCTCCTGGCACCTTTGAACAGACTTGGACCTCTGCCTGGACCTGGTCCCCCAACAAAACAATATGCAACATTTTCTAGTGGCTGCTGAGGAATACCATGCGTGGTACTGGAAGATCCACAGGGGATACGTGCTAGAAGAGCAAATGAACGTGGAGGACAGTGAGTAAAAGCCTGCACACGTGTATTTAAAAACCACACACAAGGAGAAGAGTTCTAAGAGGATATATAGGTCTTCTGGGAAAAGAATGGCAAGGAGTTTCTCTAAACCTAAGTTTCCAGGGAGCTCAAGCAGCTCTAATACCAGAAATTATTCTGAACATACTTTAACATTTCCAATAGCATTCAAACACCACAGTTTATAACAGTGACAAAATGTGTCAGATGCTTCATTTTTGCTTCCCTGCAAATCTTGCTGCAATTGAACTAGCAGATAAGTATTTAAGGTCATGAAATGAGTAATCATAAGAAAACTGAGTAGGGTGATGCTCAACACTTCTCTGTATTTTTATATGGATACATCCTGTTTTTATTTGCTTTCATTGTAAATCTGAACTGCTTTCCTTGCTATTCTACATCCAATTATGAAGGCAAATTTCCAATTCTTCTCTTCATAGGGGTGCACAGACATTTTAGAAACATAAATACAAGCCAATCAAAACTGAACATCACCCACATTTTGTAAAAAACTAGAAACAAGTACAGAAGAATACATAAATTCTTGTGTATATTAATAAAACAAGTTTCCACAAATTAGAAAGAAATCTCAGTGTCTAGACAGGGCTCAAAGTTTAAAATTCATTACAAGAAATTTATTGTAGGAGAAGCATAAACAATGCAATAGCAATACCAAACTCATCATACTAAGTTAATAAACCCGTCTTACAACCAAGTATACAAAATTAAGTCAGACTTACCTTCCCTCATTGATTTTTGCTTTGTCTCCTTGACAAGTGAAGTTCTCAATGTAACCTAGACTGCAGTTGATTCGTGACCAGTCAGGCTGGCACACAGCAAGGAAGTGAGGACGCAGTCTACCAATGGAGTACTTGGCAATGTCTGTCAATGACTGGCTAGCAGCTGCTCCAAAAATGAAGGTCCCAATGGCTTTGTAAATAGTGGCTATGTAGTTATTTCTGACAAATGAATTTGAGTGCAAATGATTATAAAAGACAGAGAGAGTCTCTCCTAGGATTATCTGAAAGAGAAATAAGGACAACAGTTAAAGATAATCTCTACTGTTATCTACTAATCTCTACTAATTATCTACTAAAGATAATCTGTACTCTATTGTTGTTAATACATGTCGTTTCAGAAATTAATTTTTTATAAATATTAAGCTGCAAATTTAAATTCTCCAAGAGTCAGCAGTAACCATGCCCAAACTGTAAACACTTATGTAGAAGAAGAAAACTTTTACCTTACCCTGCTTCATGCTGAACTTATTATCAGATTATTCATATTCAGAATATCTATTAAACCAAAACCTTTTCAGAGTAACATTTAGCCATATTACCTGGCATGGTCCTAATGAGAAACATTTTCTCCAGTATTACATTTTATTCTACATTGAACCTTCTTCAGTTAAACTTCTGCTAAGCAAAATTTTTCTATTTAATCATAAAGTTGTTAGGTTTTTTGTGAAGCCAGAGACTATTCAGAAGGGTCTAGACTCCATTTCCAGATATGAAAGGCCAGTTATTTAAACAAAGAAATTTCCTATTCCTCAGGAAAATTAAATCTTTAAGGAAGAAAAGAACAGTAATGAGAGCAGAGAAAGACTGGCTTACTGAGGTCTTTCCAAGGATTTTTCACCCTGCATGTCCAAGGTATACGCACCAAGGGTGCATCAAATGTTGACAGAAAAGCAGATTTAATTTTGTTTTCCTGCAACTTTACCTTTTGCAGAAAGTTTTTCCTTAAATAAAGTATAAAACTTCACCCCAGAAGGCTGGACATTGAACCAGACAGTCCCATTTTGTACAGAAAGGCTTGACTCATACAGATGATCAGATGGGTGAGGGGCTGGATGCATATTTGTAAAGTGATCTTTAAAAATCCCGTGAAGACTAAATGATGGCTCCATTTGTCACTTGCAAGTGACAAGCCCAGTATCCCAGCAAAGCAGAGCTTTGGTGAATGAAGCTGTTATTAGACACTCTGACCCGTGGGCAGACAGAGTAGCTGTCAGCGGCTTTGTATATTAAGGCAAAGAGGCAATCCTATCAGATGTGTGACACTGAAGTTTTACACTCTGCAGCATACTGAAACATGGACTAAAGCTGAGAAAGTTTTCAGTGAAGTAGATGTTGGTAAGCTCTTATACAGAATCTACCTATCCCAGAGAGTAACCTCTTCATGAAGATAACTGAGCAGAAAGATCACAGCCATGACTGATAAATAATGAATCCCTTTTTGTTGTGGTTCGGGTGGTCCTCAGACCCGGACACTTTTAAAGAACACTGATGCAAAACCTGCTAGAAGGTCGCTTATCTGAGTTGATCTGACAAAAAATTAGGTGATGTCAATGCAGCTACTTCACTGGATGCAGACATCAAAGAGTATTCATCCTTAATAATCTGATTAAGCATTGAGTAAAGGACACCAACATTTGCTTTTACCATCTGACTTCAAAGTAACCTTCACAGAAAAGCCTGATTTCACAACTAAAAGATGTTCCCTGATGCTACAAAGGTAACTTTGTTAGCTAAATGTTCGTACAGGCTCATATGGAGATTGGATAAATTCAAAGGAAATACATCTACTATATTCACTGAAGTATCTTCTGTCTCAGGAAGTCCCTAAGCTGCAAATGGCTGGTAGCAAAGTATTGAGGGCAAAACATCAATCTCTGCTTGCTCTATTCTTCTGCTCTCCCTCTCTCATTTGTTTTAACCACTGCTAGAAATGAAGTAATAAGATAGAGGGACTTCAGTTGTGGCCAAGTACTGCTGCTCTTAGGTAATATTGACTACCCATAGTAGTAAACAGGGTGAAAAAACCCAAAACCGTTCCTACATTAAAAGGCAGGACCTTTTAGCATAAACCACTTGCCAGTTGGTAGAACATACAAAACCCAAAAAGTTTTATCTGCTCCAGAAGTATTTCTATAAGTTTTTGAAGCAGTTTTTCCAAGAAAAGGAAAACCAAGCAAGTCACAGGTTTGATTCCCAGCCCCACATTTCTACAGTTATGGAAAAAAAAATCCACCCAAGAGCAAACATAAGCTACACGCTGACCTTTATGTTGGAACCTAGATAAAAATTGATGCAGTCCTTATGCAAGATATATCCCTCCTGATTTTAACCCATTAACCCTGAGAAACAGCTGGCCAATACTGAGGTTCGTATTTAGCTGCTCCTTTTGCAGCTTTGATTCTTAAAATATTTATAAGTCTAAAAATTTTATTTGGCATACAAGAGTTTTAACTCTGGTCAAAATGTAGCTCTGATGAGCTTGGATGCCACCCAATACACAGCCATGAGTGGTGTCTGAGGCTTTTTAGCACATCTGGACAGGGATCTTGAAGCCCCTATTGAAGGGCGATTGTTGGAACTAACGTGCAGTCGCATGAGACTTAGCACACGAAATGGTTAACTGACAAGATCCAGCTCTCCCCTCTATCTGTATCCAAGGACATGTCCCCCACACTGATATTATATTCTTCCAGGAGCCATTTCATTCAACTTAGCTCAAAGAAAGCATCTGTTTTCTGCCAGGTTAAGGAATTTTACTAGCTCATCCTGGTTCAGACAAGCCATCAGCGGTAGCACAAGACAGGGTAATAGTGGCACCTCACCTTTTGTCTATAGTAAGCTATTAGGTTGGCTCAGCTAACAGCATATAATTACATCTTAAGGATACAGAGTCACTGTAAACTCAAGCCAGTTCAACTGAGCTAGGAGCTGTGGTCAAAGAGAGAGATCCCAGACTGGCAGTTGCAGAGGCAACCTCTCCAGCTCACTGATCTGGTGTGAGGGAGGGAAGGAAAACAGTACCCTGTTTTCAGCCAGGTTAGGTGCAGCATGAAAGTGAGCCCTAGCATTAACTCAAACACAAATGGGCCCACTGTTCTGTCCTGACCTTCAGGGAAACATCCGGGGAAAAACTCGCTGGCTACTTACTCTTTTTTAATTCTAGTTATGCTTTTGATAAGTCCTGGTTGGAAGCCATAATATTTTTCTATTAAAGAACTTGTTATCTGTTGTTACACTTCCACACACAGAAGTATTTCCAACAACTTCTGTGGCAGAAAAAAAAATGCTAACTTAATAGATCATGCAAACTCACATTCTGAAAGTAGTAGCTGCCAAAATAGAAAAGCTTGAGACAGTAATTTAAAATACATTAATGTTATTCTTAACTGATAAGGTAAGGGAGGAAGGTTTTACCTCTCAGACTACAGAATTAAGCTACCATAGTTCTAAGGTATTCTTTTTCCGTTCTATAACTCTAGTTGTTTGACCTCGCTCGATTAAAGAAAACCTTTTAGTTACTCTTGCCAGAACACCATTACTACTGCTTGAGCACCTGGTCTAAGGTCATTATTTTAGAGTCAAGAAATCTTATAGAATACAACTGTAGAAGTCTGTATTAACAGATTGCCCTCCTCCCTTTTCCCCACCCCCATTGAAATCAAAGGCAATGAAGAAAAGTTTAACTTACAACAATTATACTGAAAGGAATAATTATTCCTGCTAACAACTTATAAGAAATGGTGTCCTCTTTGTATGGATACCGGATGGATTCATCACTACAGTAAACTCCTCTCTGGAAGGGGATACGTCTTGAATTGAGAATTGCAAAAGGCAAGCCAGCTAGCAAAAAGGAATAAAAAATACATTACAAAAGCAACACAAACTCTGGCGATGATTATACCCCCACATTTCCAAAGAGAAGTGCATAAACAGGAATGGGCATGCAGCAAGTTAGAAAGTTATGTACTTCCTTTGACCAATGACTACTGCCTTGTCTTTGCAGCTCCCAGGAAGGACCACTGAATGAAGGAGAGCAGGTCAGGATTCCTCTCACCTTCGCATTTGTGGCACATCAAGTATAGAAGCATGCCAAAACAAAGATTGAGCAAACAGTTCAGTGACAACCACTGAGTTGCTCAATCTGCTGCTACCGCCACACTTATCAGCTATGCCTTATATTCCAGTGAGCAACAGTTGCCACTTTATACCTTCTCTGGACAGCTTCACAAGTCAGAAGAGCACAAATTGCATTTCAAGAAAGCAGAAAAGGGGTGCTTCTCAGGGAGCGCAAGTGCGGAGGGAGTTTTCAGGAATAGATATGGAAAAAAGGAAAAGTTACACATGCACTCAATCCCCTCACTTCAACACACTGCATATTTCCCTAGAACGATGTGGTCACCGCACAAGCCCTACAACCTTAGGGCATGGAGATTTTATTCCCTTCTACCACAACAGAGAGGAAGCCTTTAGCTCATCCTAAACTCAACAGAACACAAGATTAAGGTGCACAACACTTTGTGCTATTGCACCTGAAGAGACCTGCAATGCTAGCCAAAACTAATCATTTGAACAGCAAAGTTTTTTTTTTAAAAAAAAAATCAAAATAGAATACTAATCACTACAAACTAATAGCAACACATTTTTAAATCCTGGGCCTCCATCTGTGACACACGTACAGCATCTGCACAATCTGTTTGTGTACAGGGATGAATAACCTCAGAAAGAAATGGCTGTATAGAAAAAAAACAAGGGAGGACTACCAAGAATATTCAACAAAACAATAAATAATCTTCTTTGACTCAAGTTATGTGCAGCCCAGTAGCATTGACATGCTTAAAAGCCCTTGATTTTGTGCTCAAAATTCAGCACTATTGCACACAAAACGCATACCAATTTAGAGTTATACAACAAAAATCATCTGGGGGCAGATGCCCTTGATCTACCAGTAGGGGATGAGAAGGATGAGAAAGAGCCTCCTTCCTTCATTCCTGCCAGAAAAAGATGTTGCTGTAGTCCTCGTTCTCCCTTTAGGACTTTTTTGTCCAGGCATAGCCCACCTCTTCTTTTCCATATACACAGCTACCCCTAAATAAGTGGGTACAAACAAAAGTAAACACAGAAAGAACAGAAGAAAAAGAAAGGGGGAAAAAAAGGCTCCAACTGAGAAGGAAGAGAACTGCTAGGGAAGGGAATAGAAGAGAAACACTAAGTTACACCATCA